AGAGAGAGAGAGAGAGAGAGAGAGAGGAGAGAGAGAGAGAGCGAGAACCTTTCCCCCCCTTCTTTTTTGTTTCCTTTGGATATATATATATATATATCTATTTCGGCCATGTTGACGTTAAGAAAACTTGATACGCTTCGACGACTTAGCTACGAGAAGGAGTAGATATAGAGTACATTTGGCTGTAGAAAGAAGAAAATTGATCGATCGATTCAAAACGATATCCTTCTTGCGCGTGTGTAATAATAATGTGCTTTTTTAATGGTCGGTTATCGCGATACGTTTGCTGCTGGGTTTCGCGTTAATAACTCTTTATCGTTTCTCCCGTGCCACGCAATCTAGCGCTGCATCGTCTTCTCGTTACACGACTCGCTCTAATATTTAACGTTTTTAAAGGAGTTTCCACAAGTTACGTGCCTTATCTCGATTCTCGTTTTTTTTTTTCTTTTTTTAACTTTGTTCCGCATCTCCTCAGTTCGTTTAAATATAAGCGGAAGGGAAATTTCGCGAGAGGAATCGTAACAACTTCGGCCTCAAACTTCGTCACGATGAATAAAAGAATTTCCGAGGTGGTGGAAAAATTGAGAGAAATCGTCTCCTCGTTCCTTATTTATGAAAAAAAGGTACGAATTTTTTTTCTAGTAAATAATATATTTTCAATTATTTTACCCATTCTCTTTCTCTTCCTATTATTGAAACTTTAATTTATTCGTTACTATTTTTCTTCGACTCGATTATATCATAATCGATTTATAATACGAACAAGAGTTTTTAATTCGAGATCCAGCAACATTAATACCGGCCTCTTCATTTCCCCCCCCCCCCCCTATATTTTTCCTTACCTGGTTAGTTCAGGTATAAAATTAAACCGTCAAAAATTTAAAAGAATTTGCGCGGAGAGAATCGTTTCTTATTTATGAAAAAAGGTACACGAATTTTAGAAGGTATAGTGCATAATATATTTTCAATTATTTTACTCTTTCTCTTCCCACTCTACCATGATCAATTTAGAAAATATGAACAAGACTTTTTAATTCGAAATTCCAGTAACATTGGTCGCGTTTTCCCTGTCTATATTTTTCCTTACTTAAACTTGGTTAAGTTCGACTATAAAATTAAAATAATTTGCATTGGGGAGAAAAATGAGATCGGTGGGAAAAAAACGAAAACTGTATTCTCTGGTTTGAAAAACGTAGCCATATATCGCAAATATTTCTGCATATTTACTCGTAAATACGTAAACATTGTGCCGCGATATATCCGTTATTACGTTGTTTCACGCGCAGCCCGATAAGTGGATTTTAAAAAGGATAAATATTTAAAAATTGTTAGCCGATAGTCGGCCGAAAAATCGTTATTATCGCTAACATTTCAAAATGCCGCGTTATTTTTTATTCGTCCATTATTTCGATTCTGCAAATAATTGTTGCGAGATATTGCAACGAGAGCTACCTACACGCTTTGCGTTTGAATTATAAATGAAGTTTTCCTTTTTTCCCGTTTTTATTTTTTAACGCAACGCCTGATCGATCCAAGACGATTATTGATTAATTCGACGAAATTAACTCGACAAATCGCTATTAACTCGTTCTCGAGTTGAGATTCGCAACCGTATGCAAACCGGATTCCTCCACTCGCGTGTCGTTTCAGATATCGCGTTAATTAGCAACGTACAAGTGTTTATTAGCCATTAGAAACTTATCGTTCTCCTTTTATTTTTCCTCCTCGCTTTCCTTTTCCCTTTTCGAGAGAGAACTCGATAAGAAGGCAACGGTGGTTCTGTCACTGTAATAATCCTCGTATCGTGCCTTTTCTCCACGGCGGATCAATTTCCAGTCTGTGGCTGCTCTCAACCGAGGAGAAGAAGAAGCGCGCAAGGGGAAAAAAAGTGGCCGATCGATATTTACGATCGAAAGAGTCTCCTCGTTTTTTTAAACCCAACGAGACGACGACGAGAATCAGCGGATTTTTAATCGAGGTGGTCGATAAATCGGTTCCGGTTAACCGGATTAAAACGGACTCTTTCCAGTTTAATCGATTTTCAGGAGATTCTTAAAAAAGGAAAAAAGAAAAAAAAGCAGCGATTACTACTTCGTTGTAAGGTGGGTAGGGTCTGGTTTCGACGTGAAACGAAGGAACGGGATAAAAATCAAGGAATTTCGATGGATAAAAAATTCGATTCGAAGATTTGTTTTATTCGATAGGATAAAATTGGCCTGTCAACATTTACACATTCATACAGTACATTTTGTTATTCACGAGGGAGGTTTGTTTGTATTTTTCATAGCGTAACGTTTTCAATATTCGATATCCCCGAATTCGAGGATTTTTCCACTCGTGTCATCGCGCGATTCTCTTCCCCGAAAAGGAATTACGCTCGATTCACTCGACTGGAAAACATATTTTTCCGAAAGTTTTTGAAAACAACAAGTTCGGCACTTGCTTGGTCGAAACAACAGCGTCGTTTCATGTCTTCTTGAGCGTATGATAAAAATTGAATTTCCCCCGCGAATAAATTCTAATTATACTTTTAAAAAAGGAGTATAATCAACTTTTCTCGCGTATAAATAACTCCTCAGAATTGGCGTTGTACGATTTTTAAGCCGAGAAATTAGAGGGGCGCACGCGAGACCCGTTTTGATAACAGGCTCGCGCTCGATCATCGTAACGACGTTGGCCGCGTATCAACACTCGGATTTACCCTCGATCCCTGACAGAAACTAATTTGCACGTAGCGAATCTTATCGAGCCAGCACAGTATAAAAGGGTGATTAACCCGTTGCCTCGCGATTCACGTTGCAATAGCGCGTGCCGTAAACAACAACAGCCGTTTCACGGTTTCGAGTTGCGCAAGTTGTCGCGTGTGTCTTTTGATACGTGAATATCAGCACGTATGCTCGAAGAATAATAAATCATAAAATGAGGTTATATTATTACATTAACAAATAGAATATACAAAAATTTAATAATCTTCGTGTGGTATATTTTATGCCAGGAATCTTTTAGTATAGGTTCAGATTTTTAGTTCGTTGGCTTCTTCTTTCCATGGTATTATCTTCTGTAACCACGTTTTCATGAAAGAAGTAAAATATCACTTTTCCAAAGCGATTGGCAGAACTCTCATCAACAACGCTTTAATATTCTTTTCGACGATATTTTTAACGATATTTTATCGTAATATTTTTTTCAAGAAAATTAGTAAGTCGCGTGTCTCTCACACGATATTACAGGTTAAGGCTTCTTAAAATTGATCGCACGGCGTAGCTCTATCTGTCCAATCGACGAGAAGTCGTTCGACAACGATATTCGAGTCGATCTTCCGTCCTGCTCTCGCTCGTCAATATCCACGAGTCGTATAATCCACTCTCGAAAAATTCAAAACACACCAGCTGGCTGGTCGAACGTACCTGCTGCGACCTTCAAGATCCTTGCCTGCGCGGATCGGTCGAAACGTAAACAACTCATCGGTGTTAACTCGACGCCACAAACGTAAACTGTTTGTCGACCGAGGATAACTTTGCTCAACTATTGTTCCGAGCTTGAGAACGGTGTTGGAGATGTTGCGAGATCGATATTTTAAGATCAAATTCGAAACGGTTGGAACAAGATCCATCCAGCGATAAAGTTGTAATCGGAAAAACACACATCTTTGTCATATCGTTTGTCAGGCTTTTCGCAACGAAAATGGGGAAAGTTTAACGGATGAGGTTAAGAATAAAGTTGCGTCGACAATTTATCGTTTGAAACGTGAACGATGATCGCGAATAATCGGGGAAAAGATTACACGAAAAGCGGATCGGTCGTAATATCGAACGAAATGTTATTTCGATAAGTAATTACTCGATAAAGTATTGTTTTATTCGAAATTTTTAATCTAGTTACTTTTTCAACGGATTATATCGGCCAAACTTTACTACCTTATTTTTCCAACATTTTCATTTCGCATTGTATTATCTTCTCCCCTTTTATTTTTTTCTTTTATAAATATATCGAAATAACGAGGGGGAAAAACAAACGGAGATTAAACTTTTTCTTTTTTTTTTTTTTTTTTCTTCTTTTTTAATCAATCCTCCATTATTAATCATATATATTTTGAACAAAAAGCTCTCTCCCTCTCTCGATATTCTTATTACGGGATGGAAACGCGGGCTGGAAACAAGGATCGATGGCGAGGAGGGGAGGAGAAATAACGACGCGAATTGAGGCGCGATAGATGGAAAAGGCTGTTTCGAATTTCGATTAATTGCGGGGAAGAGGGGGAGGGGGGGGGCGGCGCGCGCGCGCGATCGCGTCCAACTTCTGTTGTTGTCGCTAATTATCGTTGATTGTCAGCCGCGGATAATCACGATTAAACCGTTCCTCCCTCGGTTTCATCGGTATTTTTGAAACGCTTGCCCGACTCGGGCTGTAATAAAGCGTGGAACGGATAAATTTCCACTTCTCTCCCTTTTAATTCGTCGCCCTTTTTCCATCCTCGAATACTTTCACGCCGTTTCAGTCTCTTCCTCCCTCCTCCCCCCCCGGCGTTCGCCTCCTCGCGAAGTCAGGCGAAGGTCGACAAACAAACGAACGTCCGCCCAAACAAACGATATTTCCACTATCCTGCGAATATAAATAAATTCCCCGTGTTATTCCCCGCCTCGTTAACGCAACAACACCCGATACTCGGACATATTTCAACGGGATCGATCGACAATATTATCCCGCAAAAATTCTTCAAGTTTTCCGCGCGTTCCCCCGCCACGCTCCTCTCCCCTCCCTTTCGCCTTTCCCTCTCTCTCTCACGCCCGACGGTCGGCGAAATGAGCCGAAAAATGAGGAGGTTCGGCGGGAGTAGGAGATCGGGGAACAGCAGGAAGGGGGGGCGGAAAGTGTTGCCCGCGAAGATCGCCGCGTTGGTCGTCTCGGCTATACAGGATCTCCGGGAGACGAAGGGGTCGACGCCTAGCAAAATTATCGGTTATATCAGTTACGTGTCCGAGATGAACGATGATAAGGTTAAACGACAAGTGAGTGAGCGAGTTATTAACCTGTTTTTCATTAACACGTTCGTCGCCACGTCACCCATATATGGGTATGCTTCCGCCTGGGGCCAATGTACTGGTGACGCTTTCTTTTTCAAAAAGAAATAAGATTTTATATACGTTCGCATTTGTATTTATATTCATAAGAAGGTTATCGATCAAGTAAGAGGGGAGAATGTAAATTATATTATATTATATTAATGTAGGATAATTAACACGTTCGTTGAGTTACTCGCGAAAAGGGGCCCAAATGTGTTGTTGTCGGAAGGCCGTCGGAAATAGTTTTAATATTTTTATTTTATATATTTCAAAATGTAAAATTTAGTCGAGATATCGGAATTAGTTGTTTTCACTTCTACTTCTAATATATTTTGATGAATATAAGACTCTAATTACCATATATGATATAATTTTAGATTTAAAATCGTAAAATGCAGACTGTTTCTAAATTATTTTTAAATTTTAAATTCTCTGATTCCAAAGTTTTTATATTTTGTATTTTATATTTCACTGCTTATTCCACTATTAAATTTCATTTAAAATTCCGCTTTAACTCTTTGCATTCATATGTCGCCATATAATCGCTATCCTGTATTTCATTATAATACGTATACTCACATCAATAAATATATGTGTTTATATTATTAAATATAATATAAAATTCTAGAGGTCACTTCTTACTTGATCGATAACTTTCCTAAATATAAATACAAATATAAATGGTTATAAAATCTCTATATTTTTATTGAAGAAGAAAGCGTCACCCGTATATTTAATGGAATAAGCAGTGAAATATAAAATATACTTTGGAATCAGAGAATTTAAAATTTAAGAACCATAGAAACACTGTGCATTTTACAATCTAGAATTATACCGTATATGGTAACCGATGATATAGAACTGAGTTGAAGTTGCCAATTAGAGGCTTATATTCAGACCAAAATACTTAAAATTGACTTTGGAAATAAACGAAGCAGGCACTGGAAGTCACCCATTTCGTGAGGAACTCAGCGACGAACGTGTTAATGAATCGTTGTTCGAATTTTGTTTGAAAAAAAAAAAAATCCCATCGGGTTCGACACGAATTGCAGGTGAAGGCGGTCCTGAAAAGGGGATTGGAGTACGGGATACTGAGAAAGTACAGAAGGCAGTATTATCTTCCCACGAGCAACGAGTTGAACCGCGCTAACCGCATCGCGTTGAGATTCGCCAAATTACCTTTGCCCACCACGTATCTGACGAGCCTCTACTCGTTGAGAAGCAAACGAAGAAACCCGAGGAAACCCGGCGTGAAATCGTCGCCCCCCCGAAAGACGAAACAGCTCGACGAGCCCACGTTGATCTCGCCCACCGTCAGCCTTGCGAATACAATTTGCAACGACGACTTGTGAATAATAACTTTCGAATCCCGCGCGATCGAAATTGAAGTTATCGACGGTGTGATCGAGATCGGTTGTACAAATTCTCTCGTTCTGCGTTCGCGATTTGAAAAAGGGAAAAAAAAAAAAAAAGTGATCGTAAAAAAAAGAGTTCGTTTATATATACATATAACGTCGTCGTGTCACAGTATATGATGTAATAATGAAAAAGAATTGTGATTAATAACAAGGAAATTATCGCGAAGATCGTCGATCATTGTTCAATCTCGTTTCGAAACTCGGTCGGAGTGTATAGCGCGTAACCTCTTTCGTCCGGAATGTTATATGAATAAAATGCCCGCCACGTGATAAAATTTAATTTTCCCGGCCGAACAGCCATTCTTTCTTTTCCTCCTTTATTTGCTTCTCGAAACGGAAAGGATAAAATTGATATATCCCCGCGCGCGTCCATCCATCCTCTGCGGGGATAAAAATGTAAGAGGACGATTGGAAAAGATCAACTATCTAAAAGATTTCATCGTTGAAAGGATTTTCGATGCTTTGCTAAGGCTAAATAAAGTGGGCAGCGATCGTGGGGAGGGAGGGGAAGAACGATGATGAGACGGATGAAACGTTTTCTATCACGATATAATATCGATCCACCACACACACCTCCTCCTCCATTTTTCATTTCCTTTCTCTTTTCTCTTCTCGTTGTGTGCACACGAGATCGGAGAATTAAGGAGGAGGAACGGGGATTTTTCGTAGATTGTGGAGGGGCGCCGTTTTAATACGAAACTTTTTTGCCCCGATAAATTCGATAGGTCTTTTAAATTCAGTAGAGGGGGAGGAAATTTCCGAATCCAGGAATTTTTGGCGCGCAAGGAAAGATATAATAAGATAAAAAATTAAAAAAGTTTAGATTACGGTTTCTGTCAAATTCGGCGCTGTTTGTATAAACTAACTTTCCACCATTTCACCCGAAACTGAATTTCATTTTCGAACGAAAAAGAATCGGCACGAAATAGTTTAGTACGTAATAATTGTAATTTTCAATTTTCAACAGGAGGAGGGACGGCCTTCTCCATCAAATTCGAGAGAAACAACGGAGTCGAAGACGCCGTACTATATATAAAACTTTCCACCCGATAAATTCAACAGCTCTCAAAATTTAGGGGGTTTGAAATTTCATTTTCCGACTCAAAATTCGAACGAAAGCGAAATTCCCCCTAAGGTTATTTTTTAATTGGCGCGAAATAAGTTTGGACGCAATATAATTGGAATTATAGTTTTCTGCAAGGAGGGAATGTTAAATTATTCCGTCTATCCGGGACGGTTTCCATTAAATTCGAGGGAAACAACAGAGTCCGTGTCGGTCTCTATAATCCGTGAAAACATAGTCCAACTATGAACAACGGGTAGCCAGGAACAATGCGAATCCGTTTAAATGGTAATTCGGATAGCTAGTTGGCACCTAAAGGCTGCGCGATATCGATGTTGTTTCCGTTACATCGTATTTGAACAGAAGAGAGAGCCTCTGCATAAATATCAATTTTTTTCTTCATCGCTCCTCCCAACAATACCAATTGTTAATCACGCTTTCCCTGTTCCCCGCAATTTTTTTTAAAATGTAATTTCGTTCCATTCCGATACGAGGTAAATTTTTCGGTTAATTATTTGTTTTTATCGAAAGGGGCATTCTTTATCGCTATTTCGACTCGATTGTTTCACTCGATGTAATTAACACGCGCCGTTATATCGATACGAGTTTTAATAACAAATTGGAAAAACCGTTGTTCCAGTAAAGACATTGCCTTTTTTCCCTATCGGCATTAATGGAAACCCGGCCTCTTTAATTATAAACGTTCAAACGTTTGACGAGAATTTGAAGGACCAGAGGGCGTGGCCAACAACTTTGGCCGAACGTGGCGCGACGTGAAACGCGGTCGTAAAATATCAAAGAGTAGCAATTAAATTTTCTTTTGCCAGGCTCGAAAAACTGTAACTCGCGAGCAAACGTTTCAAAGAATGAACGTAAACGAATTATTATATTCCCGATATAACGAACGATGGAACCGATGATGGAATTAGGCGAACCTCTAATTCCGATACGAATTATAAATTAAAAATACGACGAATGTATTATCCGTTTCTTCTTTAATTTCTCCACAATTCTTATTCGTAGTTCGCGCGAACGACGATTGAATCGATAAACGTTCTTGCGAATGTTTCTGTTTTTGTTTCGTGCGCTGAAAGGTCCTGAGAGAATATCCCGCGTTCAGCAAAATAATGGCAGTATTTATCATCCGTTCTTTAGGGACATCCTGCTTTTAAGGGGTAAAAATTTTCATTCCTCTTTTTCTCTCTCTCTCTCTCCGTCCCTATTTTTTCCTCCTCTCCCCTCGAAATGAATAAAAATGCCCGTTCCTCGGAGACATATATTCGATACTTTTTTTCTTCTTATTTTTCCGATTTTTCTTATTTCACGTTTATTTATCGACGAGACGCTTTGAGAGACGATCGAGTGATTTCGATAAAGAAGACGAGAGAGGCGTTATATTTTCGAGGAACTATATATATATATATATATATATACACACGTACACACACGACGGTTAGGAATAAACGCC